TATTTTACCAGTTATAGACTGGAATTGAGTTTCAAAATTGTGGGTATTTGTGGGGCCAACTCAGCCAAAATCAGCCTGCTGGTATTTGTGGTTGGACAATGGATGGCTGTTGGGTGGGAGGGGTACTGAAACTGCCAAAATGTGGCATCTCTTGCAGGGGTAAGCTAGAATCAAGAATGCAGGTTTTTTTAGTATGCCGGTAATTTGGCGGTTTTTTTGCTTGGGGCGTGGTAGCATGCCGGTATCCCAGAAAATTTTTGTGGGGCGGGGCGGTGCCGGTAGCAGCCTTTTGGGAAAACTTTGCAACTCTACCTTAGACCCCTAGCTAAGCCACTGTTTCATATGCATCATGTCAGGTATTTTAGGCTCCACCCCCCCCCCCCCAACTTAAAAATCGTTCCCGGGCCCCTGCTAGCAACTGCCGGTTTAAGAGTCAACTGACAGTAATGCCATGTTTGTAGTCGGGCCTCGAGCCATACCTCCTATATAAGCCTTGGTCTTGAGCTATATCTGACACTCATTTTTTGGCAGATATTTGAAGTAGCAGCTTCGTTTTTTAAAATCAAACTTTCCCGTGCGCAGTGCAAAGCTATTAAAATCGATAATGTGATCTGATCATGGGGAGTAGGCTCCATATTTTCTTTTTCAGATAACGAGAATGTAATTGGGTCAAGTTCCTGAAAGTTTCGACCTCTTAGCTCAAGCTAAGAGTTGTCACACAGATGTATTCGTGGGGGAGGGGATGGCGAAAATGCCTTTCAAATTTTTGGTCAACATTTTTGCTCACGATATAACATTGATTTGCTATAAACAACGTCTTGCAGATAACTAACGACGATTAAGATTTGGAAACGACAACGATCCAGTGGCTTCAAGTAGGTAGGTACACGAATGCCAGCAGTTCCACTAGAAAGGGCCAGTCAGAACCATTAGGCCATTCCCCGGGAGGGCAAAAAGAGCAAAGTTGAAGACTGGTGAATTAGAGTTTACCTCGAGAGACTCTCGTCTTGTCTTCAGTCTGGTTTGAGACGAATGTTTATCAAGAGAACATTTTGAACGCCCCTGTACATTTTGGGCGGCTTCAATATGTATGACTACGGATGTCTCTAAACTTACTCGGCTTTTGGCGTTTTCCATTACCTTTATTCGAATCCTGCTGGTTATGGCCCTCAAACAAGCTAAAATCGACTAGTAGGTGCTTTCTACCCACAAAGACCAGCTGGTACCCGGCACACGAAAGCCCGATTAGCCGAACATCTAGAATCGTTTCCCCCGATCAGAATCATTTCAAGACAATTTTCAGCCGTTCCACCATTTGGTTCCCATGTCGCTCGCCACACGAAGGATGAGTTGGAGCCGTCCACCGACTTCCACGTTCCCTCCACTTCGGTATCCGATATTCCAGCCCAAGTGGATGAGGCCAGGCCGAGACTGTAGTAGACCAGCTTGAACGTCTCCATGTTGATGATGGGCGAGAGGCGGGCTCCCGGCTGCAGTCCTGCACAGTGGTCATCAGCGGCCTGCCAGGCCATGGCCGTGGAGACGTAGTGGTAGCAGTAGTCGTCCACGAAGAGCCAGTCGGCGGGACAGGGGCTCATCAGTTGGCATTTGTAAGGCGCTTCGCAAATGTAGCGTAATTCTGCTCTAACCAAGTTCCGTGCGTTATAGTCGGTTAAATGCTTGTACCTCATGTTGACGTAGCCAGGATCATGCGGCGAGGGAGCCATCGGTAGCTGAAACGAGACGGCTGCCCCGTCCGGACCGGTGAAAGCGCCGGCCTCAAGCTTTACACCAGTGAACTCGGAGTCCGCGGAGCGAGAAGGGTGGTACAACAGCCAGCTGCTCTCCTGCATGTCATTCGGCACTGCCAGGTCAGACTGCTCCCCGAGACTCTGACATGCTGCTCGGTGTGCGTCCCAGATCTGCTCCGTGTCGAACGCCCCTCGAAAGAAGCACCGGTCCCGGAACGGAAACCAGCCGGTTGGACAGGGGGACGTCGATGGGCGGGAGTAGCCGACCGACATCATGGCACTGGTATCAGCAGCAGAGTTGTAGACCTGGTTGAAGAACTGACATTGTCCGCCGCCGGTGAACGTGAAGCCGACACAGCCGGACGTCCTGTTGCACCAGGCGGCGCAGCTGAGACGAGACGGCGCCGCAGACTCGGCCAGTGGTCCTGCGGAGAACACATCCAGCCTGCGGACGTACGAGGCGCCGGCCAGCAGCGCGCAGCTGAGGAGCAGCACGGCCGACGGACGTAGCGCGTCCATCGCGGCCGGCGACTGACAAGTGCTTGAGCCCGTTCTGTCTCACATGAACATCGGCTGCTTTGTGTATGTGCAGTGTGCAATGTTGCCCGGGTGGCAGACGCGTCGTTGATTAGCGGCTGCACTTACTCGGTACTTCGTTCAACGAAGTGCATGTCCACACACATCGCACTAAAAGTTGGTGACATTAGACCCATGATATGACTTCAAAATGAGCTTGCATAGTTGACGCAAGTTAGGTATGGGTCCTGCAATTTTTATATGCTAACTGCTGGTGACAGCGAACTGAATATGCTAACTGCTGGTGACATTGAACTGAAGGCCTTCATAATAGGCGCGGTCTTTGTTTGTTCGTTTATTTGTTTGTTTGTCTCTTTGATTTTTATGGGAGGTTTTGGAGTCGTTTAGAACATTTTGAATGTTTGCGAAGCAAAATTTGGCAATTAGGCCGTGCTCCACGACACCCGAGTTCCCGTGTCCTGTCGTCCGGCACGATACAGAGCGGTGAACCATCGTTCCAACTCTGCCTCGATAATGGTTTTACCGGTAGCCGGCAATCGAGCAGCCTCTATTGGCACTTGAACGCTGCTTGCACTAAACTGTACCACTTCCGACACGGTTACTGCGGCCGACTGCCGACACCGGTACGGTATAGACCATCAGGAACCGAGGAACGGCATATACCGTCTATTTGGCGCGGATAGTCCGTACCCGTCCGTAATATCCTGAATGGTGATATCATTTAAGTACGGTCATCCAGAAAGAAGGATGGTTGGTCAGCCATGTGTTTTGGGGATAATAACATTGAATGACACACTCACAGACTGAATAGAAATGATATGTTTCGTGCGGACACTTCGGTGGTGGTTAGTGACTATCCCACCACGAAAAGTTAATGAATTGGCATTAAAGTGTCGTGCTTACCAAATTTCATGAAAAACATCACCATTTTGGAGATAGGATATTTAATAATTATGGACCAGGAGCCGAGTTAGACGGGGGAAGGGGACGTAAAATCGCCTCCACCGTCAGCACGACGTGGAAAACTCAGACCACCAGCACGGCGCCGGTTAAACAGCTCATTGACGTTTTCATCAATATCGCTCGACTGTTGTGAATTGTGATGCTAGCCACTGACCACTTGGTCCTTTGAGGGTCGTGATTACGGTCGTCAAGTTAGATGTAAGTGAATCCTAATCTATAATCTAAGATTCGGAATCAGGTGAGCCCCTACGATTTGGACCAAACTTGGTCAGTGGATAGTACGTGACGTCCTGATTACGATGCACCCAAAATCTAAGCTCGGCCCGCCATATTTCCGAAGTTACGGATGTTTGAATTTCAAGGTCATTCGGGAGAGCCCCTACGATTTCCGTCAAAATTTGTGTACGGACACTCTAGATGCTCCTCATTACGAATATCACAAAATTTAAGCTCGGCCCGCCATATTTACGAAGTTACGGAGGTTTGAATTTCAAGGTCATTTGGGTGAGCCCCTGCGATTTCCGTCAAAATTGGTATACGGACATATTACATCCTCCTCATTACAAATGTCATAAAAGTTACGCTCGGCCCGCCATATTTTTCAAGTTACGGAGTCACAAAGTTACGGAATTTCAAGGTCATTCGGAGAGCCCCTCCGAATTTCGTCAAAATTTGTATGCGGACACATAACATGCTCCTCATTACGAATATCGTAAAAGCTAAGCTCGGCCCGCACTATTTCAAAAGTTACTGACGTTTGAAACTCACTGAAATTAAAACATCTCTAACTTTTGAAATAGTGCGGGCCGAGCTTAGCTTTTACGATATTCGTAATGAGGAGCATGTAATGTGTCCGCATACAAATTTTGACGAAAATCGGAGGGGCTCTCCGAATGACCTTGAAATTCCGTAACTTTGTCACTCCGTAACTTGAAAAATACGGCGGGCCGAGCTTAACTTTTATGATATTTGTAATGAGGAAGATGTAGTATGTCTGTATACCAATTTTAGCGGAAATCGTAGGGGCTCTCCCAAATGACCTTGAAATTCAAACCTCCGTAACTTCGTGAATACGGCGGGCCGAGCTTAAATTTTGTGATATTCGTAATGGAGAGTATCTAGAGTGTCCGTACACAAATTTTGACGGAAATCGTAGGGGCTCTCCCGAATGACCTTGAAATTCAAACATCCGTAACTTCGTAAATATGGCGGGCCGAGCTTAGATTTTGGGTGCATCGTAATCAGGACGTTACGTACTATCCACTGACCAAGTTTGGTCCAAATCGTAGGGGCTCACCTGATTCCGAATCTTAGATTATAGATTAGGATTCACTTACATCTAACTTGACGACCGTGTCGTGATTATCTTTCTTTTCATCATGGGTCCCTTGTCATCAAAACTTCCACAGAAGGGCAGATATTTCATCAAGTCTCCAAGCTTTGGGGCCCGTTCTTGAGCTAACCTGATTAATAACACTGCATACGCGGGAGATTCGTCTTGGACACGACTCCGGAGGCTTACACTGCTGATGGTTGGTATTTGACCTTAGTACTTACCTATCAATAAAAAGTATTTACCTACAGTGGATAAGCTATTAAGCAATACATTTTCGATAAGAAAATAGATATACCATTTTTGTATTAAAATAGGAAGCTGCAGGATCTAGAAGTTTGTAGCACTCCACACCTTTTTCGACCCCTGTGCACGTGCCAGTTCCTCTGGGCCCATCCCTGCCTTACGCCACTAACCGCAGTCTGTGGGTGCCGTAGGTCTGGCCGAGCCTGCTGGCCGTTTCGAAGTCGCGCTCGAGGTCGGCGCAGAGCCGCGCCGGGTCGTCGCAGTCGGCGTTTCCCGGACACCAGGTGCGGTGTCGGCGCGACTGCATGGTGCCGCGCGGGTCGCGCACCAGCAGCAGCACGCGCAGGTCGGGCAGGCGCGTCAGCAGCGCGCCGGCGCCGGCCAGCGGCAGCCGCACCGTCTTGGCCGTCTGGAAGGGGAACAGCCGGCAGAAGGCGGCGAGGAACTGGGCGCGCCAGCAGGCCGGCCACTGGCCGCCGCGGCAGTACCGCCACAGCCGACTGTTGTGCAGAAACACGTACGTGTGCCCGCGGCTGTACGAGATGTATTCGCCTGGGGGGGGGAACAGCACAGGTCGCGGATCAATGTGACAATGTCCTTATCAATGTGACATCAATGGACACAGGGTCACTTGGTTGGTTAAATTCAATATTTGGTGGATACAATACAGTGGATACAGCGGTTAGATAACTGAAGATGATTATTAAAACCGCTAAGCCATTATTCTTAAAACAGTCGCTCAAAATGATGCATGAGGCAACTGTGGGACTCGATGATTCTACCAATCATGGTAGTATAGAGAACGTCGTGTTTTGTATTCCGTATGACAAATAAAATGGAACTTAACCCGATGATAACGAAGTTGTTACATGTGATACATGTGAGCGAAGTTGATAACAATTTCGCTCACATGTATATGTATGTTGTAAAATGATAGAGCGTATTTTAGTTTCCTATATTGTGATGCACCTAGATGATTTTGACCATATTCTCTGGTAGTCAGCATGGATTCAGAAGACATCTTTCTTGTGAGTCACAACTGTTACTGCTTTATCAGGATATTATGTCATCCATTGACAAGAAAAAGTGTTGATTTGGCATTCATTGACTTCAGTAAGGCGTTTGATAGGGTTCCACATAAACATCTCTTAACTAAACTAAAAATGTATAATTTAGATAATAACGTTCTTGGCTGGATTGAAGCCTTCTTATGTAATAGAACGCAGAGAGTTCTGGTTAATAATTGTTATTCTGATGTGATTAAGAGTTACGTCCGGTGTCCCACAAGGGAGTGTATTGGGTCCAATATTATTTCTTTTATATATTAACGATCTTCCGGATATAATTAATTGTCAGATAAAATTATATGCAGATGATGTTGTTCTTTACACGGACATCTTAAGCAATGAAGAATGTAGTTTTTCGTTACAGGCAAATATAAATAGATTATCTCAATGGTGTTCCAAATGGAAAATGTCTATTAACCCGCGCCCCACTGGGGTCTGCGTATAACACGCCCTACTGGGGGGGGCTATTCATAGCCCCCCTCCTAACTCCGAAACTACTGGGCCGATCGTCAAAATTCAAACGGCGTCTGATAGCCCCGGAAAAAGTGTCAAGCGAAACCTAATTTCATTGACCTCGAGGTCACCGATGACGTCACAGGTCAGGTCAAAGTAAAAATTATTAGCATTTTGGCTTCTTCACGTTTTGGGCTCTGGCCGCCGTCTTACAAGTCAAATCAGGCTCATTTTTGGTTCACACACTCGTGAACAGATGCTCTAGATACTCTGAGGGTACTAAACTTGTACTTTGATTTTCAGGTCAAGGTCAGGTCATCACAGGTCACGAAAATATTATATCATCCGTCGGTCACGTGACACATGTTTTATGGTCCATTTAGGCCAAACATTCGAATTTGATGTTGTCTATGTCATTCGAGGTCATTTTGAGTCAAATTTAGCTTAGGTCAGGTCACTTTCAGGTAAAAAAAGGTCAAATTTTGAAGTTAATTTCAACAAAAAAGTGTCTATTGAATGCAGTTTGAGCTCAGGAACACGATGGTGCTATTTATATTGGCGCACGATGTCAAATTCGTGCTGAAAAATTGATTTGAAAAATTAATAATTGTTAATTTTTGCAATAATGCGTATAACTTAGCAATTTTTGAAGATATTTAGCTAAAACTTGCTAGAGTTAGTCATAATAATGCGTTCTATCACATATGTTCCGGGTTTTTCGAAAAGTCAAAAAAAATGGGAAAAAATGTAAAAATATAAATTTTGCATTTTATTATATAAAATTTTCGATATTTTCAAAATTTCGAAAATCCGAGACAGCAGTTTGATATCGCAGTCTATTCTGAGTCCTCTCATGCAAAGAAATTGGATCTAGCTTAAAAACTGAGCTCTTGGGAGCGATTGCCGTGGTTCAATGTTTTGCGTCGAAATCGGCCGAACATGACGTCACTCTGACGTCATTTCCGGCCGACCTATGGTAGGTACGAAGGTCAAATTTTGACACAAGGTGTCAAATTAATGCAGCCGAAGGTACTGAAAGTTTGGCGTCGATACGTCAAGCGGTTTGCAAGTTATTGCAGAAAAACGGGAGGGAGGGCTATAAATAGCCCCCCCCCCCGAGTGGGGCACGGGTTAATGTTGGAAAGTGTGCCATCATGAGAATGACGAAGCAAAAACTTGCTGCAATGCCTAGATACTATTTGAATGGAATAGAAGCAGGGTTGTGCTTGACTCATGAGTCGAGTCAGAAATTTGACTCAACCCTGACTCAAATGAGTCAGATTTGAGTCGAGTCGGATAAAATGTTGAGCTGTTGAGTTGAGTCAGAGTTGAGTCGGACAAAAATATTAAGGCGTTGAGTTGAGTCAGAGTTGAGTCAGCAAAATACCTTTTGACATTGAGTTGAGTCAAACATTTAGGAACATGAGTCAGCTGACTCATCTTTCTAGAAACAAGCTTTTCATCCCCCCCCCCGCTCAACAACTTCGCCCTGGCCCTGCTGCCGGATTTTTGTTTCAACCCCGCCCCGCTCAACAACTTTTTTATCTGAGTCAATTTTGAGACGACTCATATTTTCATTGAGCCGTTTGAGTCATGAGTCGAGTCAAGGGAAAAATCAGCTCCTTGTTTGAGTCAGAGTTGAGTCAGGGCTTTCTGAAGTTGAATGATGAGTCGAGTCGGCAAATTTTTTTGAGTCGAGCACAACCCTGAATAGAAGTTCAGGTTGTCAATGAGTTCAAGTATTTAGGCGTGCATATTTCGAATAAATGTACCTGGCAAAATCATGTACAACATGTCACTGGTAAAGCGAATCAGATGCTACGATTTATTAACCCGCGCACCGACGGGGGTCTGCGCCAACTTAGTACCGACGGGGGGGGGGGCGGATGACCGCCCCCCCCTGAGATCTCGAGAACGAAGCAAGATAGCGACAAGCGGTAAACGGCATCGGATACGCACGGTCAAGATCTACAATTTTTACTAAGGTCATTTTTAGGTCAGGTCAAAGATGACGTCACAGGGGTCGAAAAAGTCAAAATGGCGGCGCTAGATATGGAGAGAGTTTTTCTCGAATAACTTTCGAATTAGTCAAGATAGGAACAAACTAAGGGCATCATCGTGATCCTCTCGTCAATCCGCATCGAATGATATATATGTTGACCTCGAAAGGTCAAGGTCAAAGGTTGACCTCAGGTCACGTGACCTCGAGGTCATCATGTATAGCATTCGATGCGTCTTGACGAGCTGAACACAATGAGACCATCCACGCGTCTGTATCTTGTTCCTGTACGGAGTTATTGGCCAAAAACCTTTGGTGACCTTTGATGACGTCACATGACCTCACAGCTGCCCAACAGCAAAACAGACCTCAAGGTAGTGAAGGTTGATCGTATATGAAGTCATGTATGGTATATGGGGCCATTCCGACCCGTTTTAGTGGTAAAAACAGGGAGTTGATTTTTCCCCCATTGACTTATAATGGGGAGGTCGCGAAATTGACCTGACCTTAGGTCACCGATATCAAAATTCCGAGATACACAAATTGTAGCTACTAATGACCTAATAACATCCTGCGACTTTCAAAGGCCTCCGACATCTACTGTAGCTCTGGCACGGTGACAAAGTTGCAAAAAAGTGACTTGAGGTTGGGTCATTCAAAGTGACCTGGTGACCTGACCTTGAAAGGTAGGAGGTTCAAACTTGCACACCATGTGTAAAATTGATAAGGGAATAGTCATACCAAATTTCTTTTCCCGCTATTCGCGAAAAACCTCAGGGGGGCGGATATCCGCCCCCCCCCCCCGTCGGTGCGCGGGTTAAGCGAAATTTCAAGGATTGCCCACAAGCTGTAAAGGAAATCATGTAATTGTCCCTTGTATGCCAGCTCTGTTTGGGACCCATGGGGAGAGGGTATGAAGCATGAGCTGGAAATGGTTCAAAGGTGCGCTGCTAGATTTATACTTAATGACTACGACCGACATAGCAGTGTTACTGACATGCTGGCCACAATAGGATGGGTATCCCTAGAAAGCCGACGTAGAGAGGCGAGATTATGCTTACTGTACAAATTACACCATGGCAACATGAAAGTAGATGTTAGTAGAATTATATGTGAACCTAGCTATATATCACGGAGTGATCACCCTAAAAAGATAGAGACTTCCGTCGAGACTACTTCAGTACCATAACTCGTTTTTTCCCAAAAACCATAAGAGAGTGGAACCAACTTTTGCCCAGCATGATGGAAGCTGAATCTGTGGAAGAGTTTCGGAAAAACGTTCAAACACATGTAAATTCGGCGTAAACGTGATTGTTATTGAAATTGCTTATGAGTAATGCAGAATGAATCGATCTAAAATGAGTAGTAATGTGAGTAGGTATGTACTTGTGTGTATGTGCGATACTGATGTGTGCATGATGTGTGAACCAGATTTAACATCACCAGGGCCAACCGGCATTCGTGATTGTTGTTAATACATGATGATACAGTTGTTTCACATTTAAATACAGTTGTTGACAGTAAATACAGTTAAATACAGTTGTAGTTGACATACTATTCAATAACCTTATGCTATTGCTGAAGCATATCTACAAACAAAATATGCGCTATGAGCAATTGCACTGCTAACTTTGTCATACCAAACATGCGCCGGAGGCTGGACACGCAACCTACCCATCGTGTCGTATTTGCAGTTCATCAGGTTGTGTAGGTTGTTGACTGCCTTGTCCAATAGTTCACCGTCGCGTGCCCGTCGTATACCGAAGTCCATGAGGGGCTCGTAATGGTAGAACATTGCCGGGTGACTGTTGAGAACATCACCTGGAACACAAGGCAGTCTGTCCAACACAAATCAACACATCAAGCACTCTGAACTCTGCCGTCCGTGCTTTCCAGAATCGAATCTTGAGAGCGGGCTTATGAAGTTCACTTGTTCAAGAACAAACTAATGAATCTTCGCCTCTATTCGTATTAGAAATCCTGTCGCTTACATTATCACAACCGAAAGAACATTCCAGCCAAAAAGCAGTGGACCTTCATCAGAGAACAGTTATAGGCAAAAATGGTTTCGAGGCAAATGTCCCGACAATCCGAAAAAAAAGAACTTCTCGTTAACATTGCGGAAACATTGTCAGGTGTGCAAGGGTGCGCGTCACGGCGACTTACCGAGGAATGTGGAGCCCGAGCGCCAGGTGGTGACCACCAGACTGCGGCGGGGCGCGCCTCCGGAGGCCGCCAGCAGCTCCTCCAGCCTGCCGAACGGCGCACAGCGGATCATCGACGGGTCTCCGGGGAAGGCGCAGCGCGACCGCCGGTCGGCAGTCAGGGGGTGCACAACATGGAGCCAATTTTCAATTTTCAATTCGCATGGGCTGCTGGCGGGGCCGTCGTGACCTGTGGTCAGGTGGTTTTATTTTGCACTTAATTTTCGTGTTAATATTTCCTTTTTTGTGCGTTTATTTGTGTTTATGTTTTGTGGGAAAGGCGCTTTGATTTAAGCATTTTGCTTTTGCGCCGATCCGTGATTATTTTCTCCGATGTTTTTTGTTCTTGGTTAACAAAATATACTGAACTGAACTGAACTGAACTGCTCGAAATGTTTTCCATGCGTGCTAACCGCCAATCCCGAAAGGCTGCATGTTTCAGCATCCATCCACCATGCTATCCGGCGAGAGCGCCTGACCAGAAGCAGTCCTATCCGGTGTTTACGCCATCCGGGCCAGACGTGGGCGACGCTTGCACGCCCATCGGTGCTGTTACGTCAGCGCGCCCCTGAACGGTCCAGCAGAGCACCTCGCGTCGCTATCAGCAGTAGCTGGAGCCGGTCCATGACCAAATATGCGCTCTGGGACGGGATTAAAGAGCGCCGTGCTGGTGGTTTAAGTTTTCCGTGGTGTGTGTGTGTGGGGGGGGGGCGTTTTCATGCCCCCACCCCACCCCGTCTAACTTGGCTCCTGGGCCACGTAGCGACACGCAGTAAGCGACAACCGTAAGAGCGTCAAAAATAATGAAGGAAATACATCGGTCATTTTTTAGGTTAGGCCAAAGGTCAGGTCACCAGAGGTCATCAACGGTCAAATTTTGTCCATTTCAACAATTTTCGAAACACCCAATGCATATCTCGGGACCTAAAGAGCTACAGCGCCGCGGAAAAGAGCATTCGACAACTTCTTACTTGCCTTTCTGACAATTGTTTTCAGATTTAACCTCAGATCAACGGTTTGGCCTCCAGAGGACAAAAACTCCAAAAATAGGCGACTCGTTTTAATGAAAAGTTATTTTTCTGTTAAAAAAAACTTTGGCTGAAGAGCGCCACAACATTACTTTTGCCGGCATCGTGTTCCTCTCGTCGAGACGCGTCGAAGGAGCGATAATTTGACCTTGAAAGATCTTTTTTAATGTTTACCTCAGGTCAAGGTCATGGCCTGACCGGAAAGGGTCTTGTTGCATATCAGTGGAATGTGGATCCGTGTCGTCCAGCTGAGCACATATGAGGTGTTTTCACCGCTCTAGCACGCCTTTATCAAAAGTCATAGTAAAAAGCTGTTGGGGACGTTTCATGACTTGAGATGACCTCAGGGGCACGGGTCGTGGGTGCGATTTGCCGATTCGGTGTGTTATGTTAACATCATGTGTTGTGTCAACATCGGCTATAAACTGATGTTTGAGAGTATTTAAACGACACTCATTTACATTTAGAAAGACACTCATCCAAAAGAGGCGCATTTCAGTTTTCTACCGTTGACTTAAAATTGGGATTTCGCAAAATTGATGCATCGAAAAAAAAAACGACACAACATGGTTGATTGATATTTTTGATAGTGGCGTCTCCTGTTGACAAATAGATGCCGGTCGATGCGCCTCCACCCCCCTCAACCCCCACCCCACCCCACCCCTTTCAGTCCCTGCTGAGGCCACCAATGAATTGGAAAGAGACGTCAACAGCTTTGCCGCAGATCACTTCATCTGAAAATAAGATCATGCATGACCCACGCAATGAAATTTACTTACCCATTAAACAAAGCGTAAATATCAAGAATTGGATACGGATGTTTCCTAAGGCGGCCAAAACCATTAGTCTTGAACATCTTTACATGTAGATATGTTCAAGGATGTTCAGAGTGGACGGGCAGAAGACGCCTCATGATTGCAATCATGAGGCGTCTTCTGCCCGTTGACTCTGAATCAATATACATAGTTTCTGGTTTAACCCTCGCGCTTATTGAAGGAGGCTCGAACTGAGCCCCTCCTTGGTTTTTCGCGAATAACTCGCGCAAAAAGTAGGCGATCCCGACGAAACTTCCAGTATCTTCGACTTGATCAATTTTATACCTAAGCTGATAATTGCATCACCCTGACCCAATGACTTTTTACCTGTAACCCGTTCAACCTGTTTTTTTTTTCGAGACCATGTTTGGCCGGGATAGCGATTCGGCGTGTCAGGCGTCAGCCGTCAGCTCACATTATCCGCGCGTTTCCAGTGTTTTCGTGGTTGTAAAAGCTCACACATCATGTGAAATGATGTTTGTCCTATACATCATGGTGGGTGCCAAGGCACGTGACGGCCAGGTCAAGGCCATTAACCTTAAATAACCTCTGGTCACTCTTTCGAGCTTTACGTTTCTACAGTAGGTAGTTTTTCAGCTGATTTCGAATCTTGCATCCATTTGAACATATCACGAGGCTATCAAAGAAAGTAGACACATACTATGGATAGCGGACAGCACGCTCATTTTTTCGCGAAGCTCTAACTCAACCATGGGCCGAACGGCAGGGGATCCGTACCTTTACCTTAGAGTTTAGACGCTTTAAAAAAGGCCAATACGGGAGCTGGGTAAGCTGGTAGTCACATTGCCCTCGGGAATATAGACATAAACATAACGGTTATGAAATAATGTATGACTTAAGAGTCATGTTACCTTTTCCTCAAGTTATAATGAATATGAAATAATATTTTCGGAGTTTCTTGAGTGATATATATTGAAAAATTGATAGCAAATATTTCGATACTCGTAGTGATACCTTTTTCAATGCGAGTGATGCACAGTGCGAGCTTTGTTAAGCACAACAAAATAACACAATTCCCATGCAATCGGTGGAGCTGGGTCCTCCAGTGCAGATAAAATAACCTATACGATACCGCCTTCCTAAGAACTTATACAATATCACTGTCTATCACGGAATTTTAATTAAATATTTAGACAATCAGCGCTAATTTAATAAAAAGAGCGTCACTTCAGTTACAGGTAAGTCACACTTACACAAGGTGACCCCCCCCCCCCCCCCTCGCGTGTTCGTTCAGCGTGCCAACCACTATTTTTTTAGCACAATGTCCCATATTGGGCTCAGCTGGACGCCACCGCTGTCGAGATTCATTGACGGGCGCAGCTGTCGGATCTCGATGGCCTCCCTGATTTTACGTTTTTTCCAGTGGCGTTCGATGGCTAGGGTTCTCGCCTCGAACGGGATCAAGTCACCGCCACAGGTACAAAAGTGTCTGGCCGTCGCTGACGTATCGCAGCGTCCGTGCTTGATATCGGCGGTGTGCTCCTTCAATCTGTCCTGTTTTGGTCGCCCTGACTCTCCGATATAGCTGGAGCCGCACGAGCACTTTATCTCATATACGGCCCCTTTCTTCTTGCTCTGCTCCACGGGATCTTTGACGTTAACCAGGTGACCCCTCAATCGCTTGGATTTGTGAGCTACCTTGATTCTGTGTGGCCTGAGAACCTTGGCTATCCTTTCGCTGAGACCTGGGACGTAGGGCACTGCCGCATAGGCTTCTTGGTCTCTGGCGGCGGCTTCCCCCTGTACGGTCTGGCTGGCGTCACGGCGTCTCATAGCCCTCTTGATAAACGGCTCCGGATAGCCATTGGCTACGAACACATCCCGTATCTTGCTCTTCTCCTCCTTCACACGTGACATGTCGCTGCAGACCCGTCTTGCTCTGGCTTCCATGCATCTTATTAGACCAGCTTTCATGGCCGCGGGGTGGCCACTGGAGCGGGAGGTGGACCAGAAACTGCCGTTTTTGGACGTTCTTGTCCAGAGGTCAGAAGGTCGGCTGGGCACCTCAGTCTACCGGAAGGCGACCGCATCAAACGTGTACCTGAAGTACAACTCGAGCCACCCCGCGGCCATGAAAGCTGGTCTAATAAGATGCATGGAAGCCAGAGCAAGACGGGTCTGCAGCGACATGTCACGTGTGAAGGAGGAGAAGAGCAAGATACGGGATGTGTTCGTAGCCAATGGCTATCCGGAGCCGTTTATCAAGAGGGCTATGAGACGCCGTGACGCCAGCCAGACCGTACAGGGGGAAGCCGCCGCCAGAGACCAAGAAGCCTATGCGGCAGTGCCCTACGTCCCAGGTCTCAGCGAAAGGATAGCCAAGGTTCTCAGGCCACACAGAATCAAGGTAGCTCACAAATCCAAGCGATTGAGGGGTCACCTGGTTAACGTCAAAGATCCCGTGGAGCAGAGCAAGAAGAAAGGGGCCGTATATGAGATAAAGTGCTCGTGCGGCTCCAGCTATATCGGAGAGTCAGGGCGACCAAAACAGGACAGATTGAAGGAGCACACCGCCGATATCAAGCACGGACGCTGCGATACGTCAGCGACGGCCAGACACTTTTGTACCTGTGGCGGTGACTTGAACCCGTTCGAGGCGAGAACCCTAGCCATCGAACGCCACTGGAAAAAACGTAAAATCAGGGAGGCCATCGAGATCCGACAGCTGCGCCCGTCAATGAATCTCGACAGCGGTGGCGTCCAGCTGAGCCCAATATGGGACATTGTGCTAAAAAAATAGTGGTTGGCACGCTGAACGAACACGCGAGGGGGGGGGGTCACCTTGTGTAAGTGTGACTTACCTGTAACTGAAGTGACGCTCTTTTTATTAAATTAGCGCTGATTGTCTAAATATTTAATTAAAATTCCGTGATAGACAGTGATATTGTATAAGTTCTTAGGAAGGCGGTATCGTATAGGTTATTTTATCTGCACTGGAGGACCCAGCTCCACCGATTGCATGGGAATTGTGTTATTTTGTTGTGCTTAACAAAGCTCGCACTGTGCATCACTCGCATTGAAAAAGGTACCACTACGAGTATCGAAATATTTGCTATCAATTTTTCAATATACAGGGATGTTCACGAAAAACTGACACATTTTATTTCCGAATTACGAGAAAACACTTGCCCTCAGAACGGTGATCATGCTATGGGCAAATAGAGTGGACTTCTAAGTTTGTATTGACATATTTTGGGATCATGTCATTTTCGTTTCTAAGAAGTTACAGCGTATTTTGCAGATGACGAGTTTTTGGAGCAGTGCACGACTCAGCCCGAAACAGGAAATTATTCCCCGTTTTTGGGCACGTGCCTGGAGAATTGCAACACCTCTCACTGCACTCGTCGGGAGGTTTGATGTCCTTTGGGCCGCTGCTACAGATCATGTCACTCACGTGACCCCACAGGAATAGTCCACGGAGTTGAGGTAGAGCGAAATGGCCGGCTATGGGTGAGAGGTGATGCGCGAGACAAGTGCCCCCTCCCCCCTGTTCTCGTGTGAGACCGATGATCGCCGTTACTGTACGTAGGGTGGCCCTGACGTGCCAGAACCACCAAATGGTGTAGACGTCGACCCATTTCCGCTACAGTAGCTAACAGAAGCTGTTAAAAGATGGCACGGTACCACTCTACAGTGACTGCCAGCATGCGGCCATGGTTTCTGACATCAGCACTAACAAGCCTGCCAATTTTGGCATTCCTTAGGAATTTGCCCACAATATGCCAATAGTATAAAACATAATCCATCGAAACATTAATATGTCAAATTTTAGACGAATTCGTAGACTGGTTCAGTCGTGGTGGCAGATGGCAGCCGCGAGAGCTTCATTGTTTTTCCGTTAAGTTTTGTCGCCAAGTCAAATTTCCCCATTTTAACGCTTTCTTATTTATTTGGAAGCTCATGTGATGCTAACTAAAGGAGCTATGCAGATACAAAACTTTTTTAACAGGCTTTCGAATGGCATGCAAGTTAAGTCTCCGTGAGCTCTCACATGCTCACAAAGTCGTTTTAAATGTGTCAGTTTTTCGTGAACATCCCTGTATCACTCAAGAAACTCCGAAAATATTATTTCATATGGTTATGAAATATTGATGGTAGTTTTAGCGGCACACGAGTACCTAACTCACGTGGTGTCCTTGTACTGATAGTCGGCCAGCTCCTGAGCTATGATGTCCCTCTGTCCATCGATGACATGTTGCCAAGACGGTGTTGGGCTGGGCGGCTGCAGCAAAGACGACCTGGTGGTGGCTGCAGGGCTCTCCCGTTCTCGAGCGGCGACTATCTGGGACGAGGCAGTGTGCTGCGTTTAGAGAAATGTGGTCAGATCAGGCGTCAGACCAGCGCAGGTGGTTCTCAACATTGTGTCAAATCACTGGCTTACGTTGCATCGCAGCTGATAAGATAAACACCGTCTGAAACGTCATTGCATACCTTGGGACATTTTTGTTTTCGCACCAACTTAAATTTGAAAAAGGCATTAAAAACATGCTGGGTGCATAAAATTACACTAGGCACGTATGCAACAGCCCGTAGCCGTACTAGGCATATTAGTCGTTCTGTTAGAATGTGCCATCACGACTTAACGGATTTACAGTGCAATGACTTACCTGTACGGAATGTCCAGTATAAGACGGTATCCCTTGCATGAAAACAAGGGCTCCTCCAATCACGATAATGAAGAGAAGTATACGCGTCAGCTGAACTCTTCGGGCCATAGCTGAAACGAGATAAATATATCAGAACACGTGTGCGAGCTAGTGGAAGCTTGTGCTTCAGCTTCAGCTTGTGTTGATATGCGAGGACCAAGGTTACGTCTAATGCGGCGATGAACATACAATGTGATGCATTGCGAAGAAAAAATGAAGTTACTTCTGGATTCTAAAATACGCAAATCAAAACCGGTAAGACGCCTTTTTGGGCGCGACATAAGAGCCAGTGCGAGAACGAGCCCCACACTTGCGCTGTTCAGAAGTGCGAGCGAGACTTCAAAATAATTTATGCACCATATGAAACCACTTTTTGTGCACGGCACCACACTAACCGGTCCCTAGAGGTGCCAAAATTTGAGCGCAATTGGCCCAGCACTGTGGAAGCTGTGGAAGTGTGTGCATTCACAATAAACCCTGGTGTTAGGGCAAACCATCACAATATACCTACATGGACGGCTCAAAGGCTTTAGTTCAGTTCAGTTCAGTTCATTGTATTTTTTCCATATGTAAACAAGAACAACGAACAAAACAATAGAGGATTGGCGCAAAAGCAAAAAGCTTAAATCAAAGGCGCCTCTCCAATTAAGTTAAACAAAGAACACATGACCAAACCAAAGTATCAGAAAGCGTCGACCCCGCCCGAAACCCGCCGAGCCAAAAAAGCAGACAGTACCCGGCCCCAGGCGACGGACGACTCCAATCGGGCCAGCTTGCGTCATAGTGTCATGTTTTGTGTTTTGTAATGTAGTGTAGTGTTATGTAAGCAGTGTGTTGCATTAATATCAATGGTACTTAAATGCACTAACTAAACAGTTATGTTGTATTGGTAAACCGATTTGTCTCTACAATAAATGTCTGAAGGTGATGGGTGATTTGTGTGCCTTGATGCTTGTTTAAGTCTTTTGCAAAGAGAAGGGTATCAAGTTTTAATTTTGCTGAGAAATTGTCAAAATTTGGAGTGATGATTCGAACTGCATTTATAAGTTTTACTCTTTGTGTATGGTAAAGTGGGCACCAGAGTATGAAGTGAGTTGTGTTCTCATCGTGATAACCGCAAGCACATACTGGGCTGGGTGTGTTGGGGTGTTGTATATTGAACAGGTGTGCCTTGAGAGTCGTCATGCCCACTCTCAATCGTGTGTGTAGTGTGTTACGCGTTTTGTTGCCGAAAGAAAAGAAAGTGGGTGGCTCTGGTGCCCCAAATCGCTGCCAGACTTGACGAGCAAAAGCGGAGCGGGATGAGGTGTTACGCAATGTGTCTGGGAGAGTATTCCAGAGTCTTATTGTCGAAGGAAAAAAGGCTCTATAGAAAGAAGTGAGATTGGTAGGGGGGAAAGTAAGAGATTGAGCATTGCGAAGTCTAAGTCCCGTGGCGTCTTGTCTGGTTTCTGTCAATATGTCTTTAATGTATGAAGGGAGAGGAGGATGATTGAAGTAAATTCTGTGAAAGAATAGAAGCTTATGAATTAATCGTCTTGTCTCAAGTCGTTCCCATCCTAGTTCGGTAAGTAATGCGGTAGTTGGTGTTCGATAAAGCGTCCCTGTTACAAGTCTGGCACAGCGGTTCTGAAGCGTCTGGAGTCGGATGGCGTCAGTTGATGTCAAATGTCCGTCGTAAACAATATCACAATAGTCGAAATGAGGTGTTATATAGGTAGAGTAAATGTTGTTCAAGACTGGTCTAGGAAGAAGCTTAGCCACGGGATATATCGGTCCTAGGAGAATGTTAATTGTCCGAATGACGTTATTGATGTGTGCGCGAAAGTGAAGGTCCGTCGAGAGTGTCAGTCCGAGATGTTTATGACTTGTCACGGTCGGTATGTCCTGCCCGTCAAATGTGAGTGCTGGAGGACAGCTGTCTCGTCGGTTTGTAAATGTCTGTTGTAGTGTCTTTTTAGCGTTGAAGGTGATGGCCCAGTCAGTCCCATATCGTTTAATCTCGTCCAGGTCGTTCTGCAAGGAGCGTCTATGATCCTGACTGTCGTGGGGATGGGAAGAGTAAAGTGAAGTGTCGTCAGCGTAAAAGAGAGCGTCATTTTTGGTCTTGTTTGATAGATCGTTGAGGTAAATTAAGGCCAGAAGAGGTCCAAGCACCGAGCCCTGGGGGCAACCGGATAGTATTTTTTGGGATGATGATAGACTGTTTCCAACACGAACAACCTGTTCGCGATCTGTAAGGTAAGAGTTAAGCCAGGCTAGCAGAGAACCGGAAATATTGCACTCGATTTTGCATTTTAAAAGGAGTCCATCATGCCAAATTTTATCAAAATATTTCGAGATGTCAAGATAGATAGCTGTAAAGTTTTGACTTTTGTTTAGAGCAGAGTATAGCTGGTGAGTTAGATACAAGAGCTGAATTTGTGTGCTATGGCCCGGACGATATCCACTTTGTTTTTCTGAAAGTAAGTTGTTTCCATTCAAATGAGAATATATCTTGGAAAAAACGATTTTTTCGAGAATTTTAGAGAGATTGGGAAGAAGACTAATAGGACGATAGTTTGTTGGATCTGAGCTAGATCCCTTTTGCTTGAAGATTGGAGTGACACAGGCTTTTTTCCAAAGTGAGGGGAACCTTCCTAGTTGAAGTGATTTGTTAAAGAGTTTGGACAGAGGTTCAGCAAGTAAAAGTGCACACATTTTTAATAATTTGTTAGGAATTTTGTCCGGGCCTGTTGCCTTGTTGATGTCTAAGGAATTTAGAATTTTGAGAACTTCGGGCTCGGTGACTTGGACATCCGTTAGCGGAGGAATAGGGGGAACAGGAAAGTGCAGGTGCAGGTGTGCAGTAGTGCAGGCCCGCTGTCTGTTGTCCTAAATAACATTTGCGTGCCGACCAACTAGCAAACGAAATGGCGCCAAAACAAACAGTAACAGGCCTTCCACTATATACCCCAGTCCCTCCGCGCCTCTGGACCCCAGCAAAACCACCCCTGTCCACCTCATCTGTGCCCCCCCCCCCCTCCCGCCCCCAGTTCCTCACTGTTGAGATTAGAGCAGGTAGGAGCAAAAGACCTGCTCCGCCATGGATCTCATTCTGTTCGGGGCTCATGTAGCCACACGCTCTGGGCGCCTTACGAAGGCCGTCAAAAAAAAAGTAAGCATGCATCACCCATTTGATAGTCATTAGTGATCATCAGAAGTCATCAAAGATAAAATTTTCAGTCTTAGACATTTTCAGACAAGTAATAAACCAAATTATTACAAATGCATTCAAATATATTCAAAAAACACACAAAGCTTTCGGTTCATGGAGCCTTGATCACTGTGCAAATGAGTATAACAATCGCTGTAACCGTCTAAAAATCCTTTGAAATTAATCAGCCGCGTGTTTTCTTCTTCTGCTGGTCTAACACCGATTTTGCTGCCATTGACGACCATGTGATAAATCCGCTCCTACTGTTAAACGGATCACGTGTGATGATGAAGGCTGCTTCCAGGACCTTCCTTGTACATACCTTTCTTTATGTTGTTTTCTAATATCTTCGTACCGTCCCAGTCAGGTAAGTGGTTATACTTTTCTATATGCAGTACTATTGCATTTGATGTTCGGTGAAATTTTACATCGCTTCTGTGTTCCTTCAAACGATTCAAACGAACTTCCACCCCTCTTCCCGTCTCTACAACGTACGTTCTTTGGCACCCTTTGCATGGTATTTCGTAAACTACACTTTTTGCATCACTGTTATCTTTTTTGGTTTCATGGTGCTTGACTAAATCTTGAATTTTCTTTCCTGTTACTGTAGCTACTTTGATATCTGACTTTTCAAGTGTTCTTACTATGATATCGATATTTTTCGAATTTGGGACCGAAATCCATCTCTTTCTTTTGTAGGCTTTTCTTCTCGTGTCATCTTCGTGTGCTTTGTTCGCACGTTGTTCGTCTCTTCTGTTAGCATCGTCGCCGTTTGCTTGGTTCGCGCGTCGTTCGTGTCTTCTGTCGGTCTCATCTCCGTGTGCTTGGTTCGTACGTTGCTCGAGTCTTCTGTTGGTGTCATCGTTTTGCGCTTGGTTCGTTTCTTGTTCGTATCTTCTGTTTTGTTCGTTTTTTTTCGACATGAAAACCAAAAAAGATACCAGTGATGCAAAAAGTGTAGTTTACGAAATACCATGCAAAGGGTGCCAAAGATGAAAGAACGTACGTTGTATAGACGGGAAGAGGGGTGGAAGTTCGTTTGAATCGTTTGAAGGAACACAGAAGCGATGTAAAATTTCACCGAACATCAAATGCAATAGTACTGCATATAGAAAAGTATAACCACTTACCTGACTGGGACGGTACGAAGATATTAGAAAACAACATAAAAAAGGTACAAGGAAGGTCCTGGAAGCAGCCCACATCATCACACGTGATACGTTTAACAGTAGGAGCGGATTTATCACATGGTCGTCAATGGCAGCAAAATCGGTGGTATAACCAGCAGAAGAAGAAAACACGCGGCTGATTAATTTCAAAGGATTTTTAGACGGTTACAGCGATTGTTATACCTACTCATTTACACAGTGATCAAGGTTCCATGAACCGAAAGCTTTATGTGTTTTTTTAATATATTTGAATGCATTTGTAATAATTTAGTTTATCATTTACATCATTATCCAACCTGTCATGGATACTCAACATTTTCAGACAAATTATCGCAAAACACATGAACAACAGCGAAATGAACTACGAGCTTGCAAGAGAAATGCAGGAAATGCCATAATCTGACCTTTCGAAGTAAATCACCGATTAAGCTCGGGACGAACATCCCTCCGATCAATATGTGCACCATCCAGGCCGATCTAAACGCTGGGGATAAATCCAAATCTACATTTATCATGGTGACCAGCGGATGCCGAGACAGAGGGGCTGATAAGTCCGGTAAGCCACCCGTCGCCTCTCCTCATGGCGCCCTGGAGAAACCTTCCCGTGGCGAGGGCGGACCCGAGTAGGTCGGATAACACCCAGACCCGCCCACCCTCAGGGCCGGTAAACGAGCCCAGGTGAACTCAAAGTTCATTATGAATGGCG